ACTCTTATTTCAGCTAAAGCATGGGTTATTAAGGTTCCAGTCCAACAAGGCACTTAAACTTTAAGTATGGGTGTCGTCTGCTAGGCATATGCTTGTGTATCTTGCTGGACTGGGGCCTATTACTATACAAATTACTGCAGCAAGGTGTCAGAATAGCAGCCGTGTTAGTCTGTATTCGCAAAAAGAAAAGGAGTACTTGTAGCACCTTAGAGACTAACCAATTTATTTGAGCATAAGCTTTCGTGAGTGAGCTGTAGCTCACGAAAGCTCATGCTCAAATAAATTGGTTAGTCTCTAAGGTGCCACAAGTACTCCTTTTCTTTTTGTAGCAAGGTGTAAATTTTTAACGGTGAGAGTAATTAACTGTTGGAATGATTTTACCAGGGGCTGTGTTGGATTCTCCATCACAAACAATGTTTAATTTCTGATTGGATGTTTTGCTAAAGAGATGTGCTAGGAATTACCTGGGGGGAAGTTGTGTGGTTTGTGGCATACAGAACGTCAGATTAGATGGTCACAATGGTCCCTTCTGGTCTTGGAATCTGTGAACAGGAGTGCCATTAATAATCTCAGTGCTATGGCTAGAAATAGTCCTAAAGTGCCAGAGATCATTAGGGGGGTGAGGAAATGCCTATTTCAGGTGGTGCCGGTTGAAGGCAATGGCAGAAGGATCAGCTCTACAGGAGGGCTTTGCTATGTAAACAGAGGGGGTTTTAGTCTAGGCAGAAGGTTTACCAGTCACCTTCCAAGCTGTCTTTCTGGTTGAATGGCAGCATGCATATCTGTCATTCTCTCCCCTTTCATTGGCATCAGGATAGCCTTGGGTATAATTGCTGGCATCCCTCTGACATAATTGCAGTAGGCCAATTTTTATACATGGCCTCTTGCGGAGCCGGAGAACAATGGAGCTGAGCTACACAACTGAATGGAAAGAATTGGGTTGGTCTGGGTCACAGCAACCTGTAGTGACTTTTAGATACAAAGCACTCTTGGCTTTTTCCTTTAAGCTTGGTTTAGGAACTGGTGTAGTGTGGGCATTGTTCTAAGGAACTGGTTTCCTTAAAAACAAACAAAGAAAAAAAACAAAAACAAAAAGAAAGTAGCACTGATGAGAGGCACTAGACACACGACCCTGCTGATTGAATCTAGTTCTCCAAAGAACAGATATCAGTGTTGGGGAAGCTTGTACCGCTGCTCTTTGTTAACATGCTTCACCTCTCCTTGTTGAAGACCCTCCAGCATGAGGAGGAGGAGGAGGGTTCAAGTCATAACAGCTCATTCAGGCCCTGATCCAGCAAAGCACTTAAGTACCTGAGTGGTGCCCTTGAAATCAATGGAACTGCCCCTGTGCTTAAAGCTAGGCATGTGCTTTGGGAGCCTCAGTCCTTTGAGGGGGACCAGTTATGAAGGCATTCTTTTGTGGTGTGTACTACAGCAGTAGAAGGGCACCTCCAAACTTATTTCTCAGAAACATCCACATAGCTAGCTGAGAATTACAACTCCCAGTTCCTACTAACTGGAGCTGAATATGAACAGGCCACCTCAAGCAATAGTTCTTACCACAAATTTTTTGGTGGCCTCAGCGTTCGGTCACCAAATCTTGCTGGTGGCCACTATGACAATTTTCCCTAAAATAATTAATGTCGGAAAAAACAAATGTATGTACATACACAAGGCCAAATCATAGTAATTTATTTATGTAGGGTTTTTATTTGCACACAACAATAATAATGCAGTTGTCTCTTTTCTTTACTGGACCTAAACAGAATAAAAACACAGATAAGGTATTTTGCATGTTCTTGTCCTTGTTGTTTTTTTTTTTTTTTTTTTGGTTGTGGCTTTTGGTTTTTTGTAGACTTGCTAGCTAGTAAGTCTGCTCCTGTGAAAAAATGATATTCGTACATTTGTTAATATCACTTTTTCACAGGAGCAGACTTGTTATCTAGCTCTGAGGCAGTGATGAGTAATACTTACAAACATACGTATACCACTTTTCATTGCAGATTTACTCAGCCCGGTCGAGCTGGGGGATAAATTAAGCCCTGGATGGGGGGGTGCGCAGGGAGACAATGGGGGCCAAGGCCAATGGGGTAGATGGGTGAGGGGGGTGGCGAGCCCAGAGGCCAGGGAAACGGTGCTCTCTACTGCATAGCCAAAACCCAGAGCCCCAAACCCCCTGGTCAGAGCCCATGGCTGGAGCCTACCACCTGCCACCCACCACCCTAGGCCTGAAGCTGGAAGCCTGAGCCCCACCGCCCCCGGGAAGGTGGGGAACACACACCAGCTGTCTGGTGCTTGTGGCTCCAAAGGGGGCAGGGCCCAACCCCCTCCTTGCAGCTCCAGGGGAGGAACCACTGCTTTGCCCCCACCCTCAGTGACCGCCCAGGAGGCTGGGGCCACATTTGAGAAATGTGGACCTAGAGAACCCATGCACTGTGTCAAAGCAGCAGTTCCTGAGCTGTCCTGTCCTCCAAGGGCATAGTCCTAAAATCAGACTTCTGCATGCTAGTGTCTTCATGGTGACACGGAACATTCAGTTTCTTTATATGAATTAAATCAGTTCCTACAACCATTTTTCTCCATCCTCGCACATTCCTAGGGAAGAGAGAAAGAAATTGACTTGTGTGGGGGTTGTCCACATATTTCTATGTCCAGGGCCCTGGCTCACCATTTTAATATTCATTTTGTTTGGGTTTCAGGTCAGCCTGAATGATTCTCACAATCAGATGGTCGTTCACTGGGCAGGAGAAAAGAGCAATGTGATTGTGGCCTTGGCTAGAGACAGTCTGGGGTTACTGAGGCCCAAGAAAAGTGATGTAAGTATGGGGATTTTTTATTATTATTACTACAGAGGGAGACTTGGAAGTACTATTTTGTGAGGGGACACATTTTAATCTATTCTACTGCTTGGTAAGAACGGGCTCTTCTGTTTATGCTTGAAAGACAATGGCCTATTCATCTGGACTTCAGGTATCAGACCTATAGACTTTCTTGCCCCATAGATTCCCATTGGGCTAGGGCTGACTCAACCATGAGCCTGCCCAGGCAGACAAATGGAGTCCTAGTGATCTGCATCATATTGTTTGTAAAAATTCCTTTACTGTGTGCTGTTAATGGCAGGTAGGGGATAGGAAACTGAGACTTGACAAGTTTCCTGAATGTCTTTTCCCTTGGTGAGAGGGGGAATCGGTCTCTCCTCAACGTATCACAAGGTTCAGCTTCCAAAGCCCATTGTTCCTTCCAAGACGCCATATCTCCATACTAGATTCTAGTTCCCTGCGACCCCTTCCACACGCTGGGCATCATGGCACCTGCTATCCCCAGGGCTTCCCCGAAGGGCGTTCCATGCACTGTAATAGAAAAGCCAAGACATGAATGCAGAAGTATAGGGCCCAGTATGAATACGTTATTTAGCCCTTCCTCTTATACTGGGCTGTGTTTATCTGGCTATCTTATAATCTTGGTATGTTTGTGGTGGCACTCCCTACTTCACTGTATTCACCTGCCCGCTAGAAACTGTTCGTTTCTGTGAATTTGTGCTGGAGAGAGGTGGCAGATTGATAGTCCCAGAAAATGTAGCTCTCGCTCTCTCTTTACGCTCTGAGCAAAAACAGTGCAGGCCTCACCAAACTGGCCTGTGCCAACATACTTTAACCCAACTCTGGAGGGCAAAGAAGGGGTTTCATTCTCCTTGCCTCATTAAATCATTGGCCTCTCATCTCTGCCTGCCAAGAAGAGGGAGCAGAGCGTCAATTGTTGTGGCTGTTACTGTAAGGTGGACACCTGCTCAGAATGAACTAATCGGAAGCCCCTGCTGGTGCATTTCACACAGGCCAGCAAACGAGAATCGCAGGGTGATGTCTTTTGGTTTATAGCAGCTCAGGCTTGATTCATACGGGGGCAGCAGGTACCACTGAAAATAAAAATAAGAACCACCATTTACTAGTTATCGCTTTTGGGCCAGCTTCACCCCTGCCCTGCACCTTGTGTAGCCATGGCTACAGCTATGGAAAGCAGGTGTAAAACACTACCCCAGTCAAAGGAGTAGCACTTGACATTCATTTTGCACTGGCATAAATGACTGCCTAAGGTACAGGGCAGGGGTGACTGACTGCACTTCTGTGGTATCACTACACAGAATGGCAGATACCCCATTTCCGGTGATAAAGTCAACGACTGTGGCGATAACTGTTGAACGGCCCCCTCTCTAGAGAGGAAAAGTTCTGTATCCCATTTCCAGGCACCTAGACAAGACATTCCTCATATCACTACAACAATGCGCAAGTAATTGTAAGCTCTTTGGAGGCAGGGACTGTCTTTTTGTTCTGTGTTTGTACAGCACCTAGCACAACAGGGTACTGGTCCATGACTGGGGCTGCTAGATGCTGTGGTCATGCAAATAATAAATATTAATGCACGCACTGAAATATTCATGGACGTTGGCTGGAGAGAGAAAGGACGTAGACAGTTAACTACCTGTCTGTTCTGCCAGCTGGATAGAGACCATTGGAACAGCTTGCTTAGGAAACTACTTCAGGTCTGTCTCGGTGGGATAAGGTGAGTAAGTAATATCTTTTGGTGGACCAACTTCTGTTGGTGAAAGAAAGCTTTCGAGCTGCATTGAGCTCTTCTTTGGGCCCTCATAGCTTGAGTGTCTCTTTCACCAACAGAATTTGGTCCAATAAAAGATTTCACCTCCCACCCCTTTGTCTCAAATATCATTGGCCCAACAAGACTACAATAATACTACGAACAGTATTGGCTTAGGCTTTTATTGCCTTGGCTTTTGGCACACAGCCGGTGCAGAGTGTACAAATCTTGTCATGTTATAGTCTTTCCCTTTGTGCATTACCCTGTGTATATTTTTCCCCATAGTTGCATAAAACTTGAAGAAGCCATTGTTCTCAAGAGCAAGGAAGGGACTGCCATCAGGGAAATTAAATCTGTCTCTCCATAACAGCAGGAGCTTTTTCTTTTGCAGGTTTATGTGTCATATGACTATGGGAAGGCCTTTAAAAAGATATCGGAGAAATTCAGCTTCGGTGCAGGGAACACCAGCGATGTGGCCATCTCACAGTTCTACCACAGCCCTGCTGACAACAAAAGGGTAAGAAATGAACAAGCAGAAATAAGGCTTTCCCATCACACACAAGTTGTACAGCTTTAACTATCCCAGTGGACAGGTGCTTTATACTGGTATCTCTATTCTTGTACATGAAGGGGAATAAGCTACTCATGTATAAAGACACCTTTAGAGCAGTAGAACTGCATCCACACTAGGAGATGTGCCAGCATAATGATGCTGGTAAAAATTCACACCCCTAGCTAAACTAGTTACACCAGTACAAAACCTAAATAGGCTACATAAATGAAGCTTCCCCTCTCCAGTTTTAAGAGGCTCTTAAAAGCCCAGTATTGCCATGCCAACTATAGTGAATCTTGTCCATTTGTATAGAATATTCTTTTTATTGTTCTCTTCCCCAGTGTCTGTCTGGCCTTAGTCTATGAGCTGGAACAATACCTAATTCTTATGTAGCGTTGGTAAACAGTAGATCTCAAAGCGCTTTACAAAGGAGTCAGTATCATTATCCCCATTTTACAGATAGAGAAACTGAGGCACAGAGCATTAAAGTGATTTGCCCAAAGGAACCCAGTAGACCAGTGGGAATAAAATCCAGCTCTCAGTCCACCATGCTGTCGACTAGACAAACTTGTCTGGTTAGGTGTTTTAATGGGGCAATCTTTCCCATGTGTCAGGAAAGCACTCAGGAGATTGTATGTGCTTCTGCAAATAGAAGTAGTGTTTATATAATGTTCTTTGCTAGCTTTTTTATTATTATTATTAAAGGATTGCTTAGTGTTGCAGGAAGTAGCTCCAAGGTTTACAGCAGAAAGAAAACGTGTGTCTCTTGGGAGTTATAAATTGAATTTGATCAAGAAAATTGACTGTTCCTAGGGAAGAAAGAAGTACACCCAGTAATTTTATTTTCTCTAGTAGGAACCTAGGCAGCTTTGTTATGTGCCATTTGTATAATTCTATAGGAGCAAATTGTGCCCAGGGAGTGGGGGCAAACCAACGACAGGTTCCCACCTCCCACCCCTCCTGCAGGGTTTAAAATCTATGGCAAAAAGGCAGTCGGATGGGTGAACAAGACAGCCAAGTTCAATGCTTCCTGGAAGAGGTGGGGTTAATGGTTTCTTGAAGGTGGAGACAGGATGGTGAGGAAGAAGGCTTAGAGGCAAGAATGGTGAAGGAGACCTTAGGGTTCAACAGGTGTCTGAGCAACAACCGTTCAGTTTGTGGAAGGTGCGAAATGCAACAGAAACCTAAATTCCTCTGTGCTGGATGAGGGCCAGTCTACGGCATGGGTCCATGACCCCTCTTTGGCATGCAGCCCCACTCCACCACCTACAGAGTGGGTCCACAAACGCTCTGTAGCACGTGGCCCCACTCCACAGGGCTTCTCTTGCATCCCACTCTTAAGTGGTGCACCAACCCAATAACCTTCAACACTGAGCTGGAAAGCTGAAGGTGAAGTGGGTTAGTAATCAGTCAGCTTGACTTAATCCATCCCTAGTCTTATCTCCTGCCTGCCCCTGTGTCAACCCCCGCCATGGGGGAAACTTCATATTTCCTCTGGGAAGTTACTCCATTGTGAGATTCCATTTAATTGTGCCCTAGTGACTGCAAGTCAAGTTTGCAAGTTAAAAGATTCCTCCTCCCCTCCTGCTCCCCCTCCCCCAACTTCCATCCCTGAAAACTTACCCTGGGATCAGAGAGTCAGGTTAGAACCTTCCTGGCTTGTAAATCTCAGAGGCTTTAGGGGGATATACATTGGGGACAAGACAGGACCTGAGCCTAGGAACCAAGAAACAGAATGAGAACCTACATCACCAAGTTCCGCCTTCACTTACACCTTTGCAATTCCCTTGTCTTCAGTGTAGTTGCACACGTGTTCCTTGGCCCTGCAACTGAAACTTAGCTACTAGTCCTGATGATAGTGGCGGGGAGGGGAATGGCAAAGTCTCCAGCTAGCTCTGCTAGAGTGGTCTTGATCCTGCTGTGCTTACAGGGGTAAAAAGCAGCAAGGCGCTTTTTTCTTCCCTGAGCAGAACGGACGTTAGCGTGTTCCTTGTGCAGTAGCTAGGCCCTGAGACAGTGCTCTTGCCTCTTCCAGGTGCTGTCTTTAGTGTAGGTTGTATCATAGCAAACATCCCAGGTAGCTCAGCTCCAGTTCTGCTAGAATGAGTATTGCAGATACAGGATGCATTCCACTGCAGATAGGTTTAGATGGTAAGCTCTCCTGCACTGCCTTTGCAGTCCATATTCCACTACTGACGTTGGCTTCCTTGTTCTGTACGGTTATATCATCTTCTGCTTATAATTCCCATTGGCTGACTGTTTTTGTTCCTGTTTCCCCTCTCCAGTACATCTTTGTGGATGCCTACACCCAGTACCTCTGGATCACCATGGACTTCTGCAGCAATATCCAGGGCTTCTCTATTCCATTCAGAGCCGCAGATCTGCTGTTACACAGTAGGATCCCTAACCTTGTTTTGGGCTTCGATAGGTCTCATCCCAACAAACAGGTGAGGAGCTGCAGTCGGAGATGAGTGCCAAGTAACGCTGCTTCTGTTGCTTTTCTGAGTACCTAAACTGCTACATACGTGTTGGGAGGTTTGCTGCGAGATGTGCTTGATGGAAGAGGTGCAGTGCACCTCTTCCCTTTTGCATATGGGGTTGAGAAGCATTTGACTCCAGTCATCTATCCATCCATCATTTTGATAAGGCAGCTATCCATGTGGTATCCATCTTCCATCCTTACTCTGGTGTTACAGTCAAACTGAGTAAGCGATAATACTTCAAGTGATGGTGTGGGTGTATGCCACATGTGGGATATGCATGCACACCCTGTGCCCGAGTCTGGAATGTGTGTGTGTTTGTATGCGTATTTATTTTACAAGCAGGGTCTGTTGGTCTGCCCATGTGCTGTAGCTCTCATGCTCCGAATGGAGGGCATAAAAGATGGTGCAGGCTGATGCCTCTCCAGTTTCACATTCACAAAATTCATGGGGGCTGGAAGAGAGACTCAGAAAATATCTGATGGAAGAGGTAATGAAGCCCCTATCAGATCTGGGCCGGGGGACCCCTCACCCCCTGTAAATCAGTCTCAATAAACAGGCAGCGGCTCTCCGAGCACGAGCTGGGGAATGGAGGCTAAGGCTGTTAAGCCTAAGGAGAAGGTTTCACATGAGTGTAAGGGGCACTCATAGGTGTAAGGACAAGCCATCCTTGTCTAAAGCTGCCCTGAAGAGAAAGGATCCCTCTCCAACCCTATCAAAGTCAGGAGAGCTGGCATGTACAAGCGCCAAGAATTTCGGCCCGAGTAAATCTAGGCAGGAGAAGGAGGTGCACAAGGGTATGCCTCCGGCAGTTCCAGTATCGACTCTGGTGGCGAAGACTTGAAACAAACAGCTCTGGTGCTCCGACCCACTTCTGGAGTTGGTGTTTTACTGGTAACACAGCCCTGAAGGGAGCCGACTGCTGTGGTGATTAGGGAATCTCTGGCTCCTATGGTGCCACCAGTGGCCACTCCTCTTACTCTAGGGCAGCCTGAGATCTATGTCTACCCAGAAGACATCTTTGCTCTTCCCTGTCCTCATTCATCTCTATCAGGACCATCTCTTCCTGACACAGGAAGAGACTCTTTCCTCCCACCTTTGAGGCGCGGCCATCGATAACGTCGGTTCCACTGGAGGTACGGGATCCAGCTTTCTCTTGGGATGAGTCACAGGCCCTGCAGGAGTCTCTGCAGCATCAGACCGAGCTGAACGGGACAGGAGTGCAAGATCAGGGTTCCAGCCTCTGACCAGACATGATTGTCCAAGAGACAGGTGGTCCCCTATGCCATGGGGTCCTCCTCTGCAGATTGATCCATTCTGCTGGCTATATTGGGGACCAGGGGAGCCCTACATTAGTCACCCAAGATTGGTTCACGAGTCCTATTTGCTGTTGCCTGGCCATCCACAACCAGCCCTGTTTGAGTATTTGGAGGAAGAAGGTGAGCCAGATCTGACAGTTTTGTGAGCAAACTCGTAGTCTTCCCCAGTGAGGCAGTAACTCCATCTTCTCCATCTCCACCGGATGACTTCAAGCAATATCAAGAGCTCATGCACAGGCTTATGGCAGAGCAACAGATTTTGCTTGAGGAAGTCCAGGAACCTCAGCAGAGTTTACTAGACATTCTTCAGTCTTGTGGTCCCAGTCAAGTGGCCCTCTACGTCAATGAGGCCATCATGGACCAGCAAAGACAGTTGGTCACACTTCTGCTTGTTCTGCTTCTGCTCCCAAGAGGGACAAGAGCATATGCCATGGGGGTGGAGGGAAGAGTTTTTGTTCTCTCAACCACCACTGAACTCTTTGGTGGTGCAGGTGGCTGCAGAGCGGTCCAAGCAACAACACCCAAAGACTACTCCCTCTGATAAGAGATGTGACTTGACTTCCTAGGAAGTCAGGTCTGCTCTTCCACCTCCCCCCAGTTCAGTTTATTGAATTATCAGGCCCTCTTGGCCAAACAGGATTTCACCAATTATACCAAGCTTATGAATTTAAGGATAAGCTCCCTGAAGAGGATAGAGTCTACTTCCAGGCCTCAGTGGATGAGGGCAGATTGGCCTCCACCGTTCCCTCCAGGCCGCAGTGGATGCAGCAGATACTGTGTCTAGGATGATGTCTGTGCTGTTATGAGGAGAGAGACTCATGGTTGCAGTCCTCAGTTTTCCCTAGAGGTGCAGAGTACCATCCAGAATCTGCCCTTGGTATAACCAGCCTGTTCCACGAGAAGGCAGATGAGTCTTTCCACTCCCTTAAAGACTCAAGGACAAAGTTTCACTTGCTGGACACTTATACCCCTGCTCTCAAAAGAAAACACCATTGATGGGGTGTAGGGCACCTCCTCAGCCTTGTGTGTTAAATCAATGTCCTCAGGAACCACCATACAAGAGACGTGTTTATAGACGCAGGAACCCAGCCTCTGCAACATCCACCGCCACATCAAACTCTGACCCCCAACGAAGTTTTTTTTGAGGGGATTGTCAAGACCCACTCCCTTTATTGATGCCTCTTCATTCCCCTCCTCAGATATTCAGAGGTCGCCTTACCCCATTTGCCAAAAACTGGAGGGCCCTAACTACAGACAGTTGGGTATTAGCCACCATGAATTATTTCTGTCTGATAGAGGTGCTGGTAAATCCTACGTACAAACCCCCTTCCCAGTTCCTTTTCAGCTAGCTAACACCAGAAGAGTCAGTGAGCTGGTGGCACTCATGGCAGACCCACCACATACTCCCTGCTACAAAGAAAAAGAGTCTCATTGTGCCCACACCTCAGATTCATCCCTAAAGTAATTTCTAAGTTCCATATGAGTCACATCATTCACTTACCTGTCTTTTTCTCTAAACGGCATGCCTTGGAAGAGGAGAGACAGCTGCATTCTCTGGACGTCTGACGGGCTTTGACCTTTTTCTCTACAAAGAACAAAGGAATTAGAAAGGCTCCTAAATTGTTTTTTTTCCCCCATAGCAGAGCAATTGAGGGGGGGTCAAGCTATATAAGCTCAGAGATTTTCAAAATGGATCTTGCGGTGTATTACCCTCAGTTACCAATTAGCTCACATTCCTCCGCCTGGAAGGGATAAGGGCTCATTCCACCAGAGGGTAAGCTGCTTCGACTGCATCTCTGAGAGACATACCTGTACTGGCGATATGTAGTGCAGCTACGTGAAGCTCTTTGCATACCTTCAGGAGACATTACGCTCTGGTCCAGTCATCAGCTGCTGATGCAGCCGAGGGGCAAGCAGTATTCCAGTCAGCTATCACTTCTGTGTCCTCGCACCCAGCCCGTGTGGGACTACTGCTTGTTAATCTCCCACCTGTGGAATATACACTGGACCATCAAAGAAGAAATGGCGTTTACTTGCCTGGAACTGGAAGTTCTTCGGGATGTGTTGTCCCTATTTGTATTCCACTACCTGCCCTCTGTCCCCTTTGCTGCAAATGGTTTGGACTGCGGTAGAAATGGGAAAGTGGCCGCATCACCTTTTATGCCCTTGATTGAGAGCATGAGGAGAGCTACAGCACACGTATGGGCCAGCGGACACTGCTGGTAAAAATATCCTGGATGAGGAAATTGAGGCACACCGAGAGCTTAAGAGACTCACCCAAGATCACACAACGCATCAGGGACAAAGCCAGGGTGTGAATCCAGGAGTTCCGACTTTCTGGTCCATTCCTCAGGCACATTCTTTAGCAATCTTACTTAATTTAAGACCTGTCATAGAGAGAAGGTGAACTAGAGCCCACTTCAAAGAAGACGTAAGCCTTATTTGTACTCTGCCCTGGGAGGAAGCCGGGAGGCTAAAAAACACTAGGCTGTTGCATGTTTTGCAGGCTTTATGGTTGGCAGTGGCCAAGTGTTTGTCTTGGAAAGTCACATACCACTATCATGTGGGTTTGTGTTTTGATATCTCCTTGCCATAATTAGTAGATGATTTCTTCACCCAGGGTAGAGCACACAGAACATCCACTACTGTCCCAGCCCTGCTTAGCCAGGATACTCCCTTTTAAATAGATAAATGCATTTTCCCTTGGGCAGCAAGGATAAAAGTGGTGGGATTTTTGGGGGGGGGGGGGCAGAATCAGCCTTCGACAGGCTCCCCTGTGCCCCTTCCCCCCAGTCCTACTGATCCACTGACTGCATCATTAGTAACTCATGCCAGATCACTGCCTGTAAAGTCAGCAATGACCTTTGGATCATTTACCATGGGCTGGCGGTTTTGCGTTGCAAAGGTTTGCATTGCAGATGTTTGCAGTTGGCCTTGCGCCGCACGTTGCTGCTTTGGCACAAATGGCTTCTTTTTGGGCTGGGGGTGGGGCCATAATGGGTGGGTGCCAAAGCTTTTTAAATACTTGTGCCTACACCTTTTAAAGCTAGATCCCCCTCGCCTAAAACACAAATGAAAGTCTAGTGCTCCCTACAGTCCGATCTTTAAGTTACATACTAGGGGGCTGGATTCTGTGCTGCACCATCAGACAGCCAGCACAGAAGGCACACAGGCATAGTTTGGAGAAAGGTAAGCTTTATGCCACCTGTGTGTGTTGTCCTGATTCTGGGCTGCTGCTGGAATGTGTGAAGTGAGTCCTACAAAAAGGATAGAGCAGCCCCCAAACCCCTCTAACTTAAAGCAGCCTCCTCGGGGTTACCCCGTGCTCACAACCTGCACAGTGCTGAACTCAATACCTACTCCTGCGCTTACTCTCAGCCTGTCTACTCCTTTGCCTGACATGCTCCTGCACCTTGGGAATTCACCCCCAGGACTTTACAATTCATTTGTGTACCCCGTACACAGCTGGAACGATGTATAAGGGTCAGAATTGGCCCCTGTGTTTTTATTAGCTGCTGTCACTAGGCTAGCTGAGAATGCAGAGACAGGGTTGATCTTGCGGTTTGATCAGTTGTCCAAGTCAGAACTTTTGGGTTCTCATCCCTATTTTGCAGCTGACTCACTGTGTGATTGGTTAGATCATGTCACTGAAGTCTAATTTATCTATTTGTAAGACAGATAATACTTACCTTCTTTGTAAGGGTCTACATTCATGTTTGCAAAAGCTTTTGGATATCTGCAGAAGAAAGGTGCCATGGAAGCACAGAGTAATATTTTAGAGGATTAAATAAATGTGCTGTGTCTCTGAAATGGAAAGGACTAAGACTAATGCTCACACATCACTTCTATCAGACATCACCATTCTGCTAGATCAGTGAAAGGGCAATAACCAGTCCTGAGTCACTGTACTGCAGACTGTTACAGCCTTGTACTCTTAATTCTGAGCTAAAGAGCTTAATTCTCCTCTCTGAATGTGCTGAACTACATTGCTAATGGGTGGCAATGTTGCCTTTAGAAGTCATGCTAGATTTATTGGTGATCACTGCCTTTTGAAATCGAACTGTTACACTGAACATTGGGTCTGCAATCTAGCTGGTTCCTTGCACAAACCAGCAATAAATGTAATTATGATGATTTAAGTGCCAACAGGGTGGCTGGTATTGTAACAGAAACAGCGCAAGACGGGCTCTGCCCCTGAGGCATCACGCTTGCTATTGCTTTCACATTAGAAGTTATTCCTAATTCTGGTTAGCCTCCTGCAAGGACGTCTCTGCAGGCAGTAATATGGCATGTGTCCAGGTTTTAGGACTGCACATTCACCTGAACCTGGCATCTGGCTCCTGCACATTTACAAGCAGATAATAGTTGCTCCTGGCAGCATACACTTGTAGAATAGTAGTACATGGAGCTGCTTCGAGTGAGAATCCAGGTCCCCACGTCAGCCCTGCTTATGTAGTGTATGATTTGGGGAGCAACAGAGCAGATTTCCAGAATTTAGCCCTTTAGTTTTTATCCAGCCTGGGCAATGATTTAGGCTCTAGTGCAGGGATGGGCAAACTTTTTGGCCTGAGGGCCACATCTGGTGAGGGAAATTGTATGGTGGGCCATGAATGCTCATGAAATTGGGGTGCAGGGCTCTGGCTGATGGTGTGGGCTCTGGGGTGGGGCCAGAAATGAGGAGTTCAGAGTGCAGGAGGGGGCTCCAGGCTGGGGGTGTGGGCTCTGGGGAGGTGTGATGTGGGGTGTAGGAGGGTGCTCCAGGCTGGGACCAAGGGGTTCGGAGGGCAGAAGGGGGAATCAGGGCTGGGGTGGGGGTGTGGGCTCTGGGGTGGGGCCAGAAATGAGGAGTTCAGCATGCAGGAGGGGGCTCCAGGCTGGGGCACAGGGGGGGGGGGAAATCAGGGCTGAGGGAGGGGGTTGGGGCACAAGAGGGGATCGGGGTGCAGGCGCCAGGTGGCGCTTACTTCACGCAGCTCCTGGAAGCAGCGACATGTCCCCACTCCGGCTCCTATCTGGAGGTGCGGCCAGGCGGCTCCGCACGCTGCCCTGTTCACAGATGTTTCCCCTGCAGCTCCCATTAGCTTCCGAACCTTGGCATGCGGAGTGGCCTCAGACCCCGCTCCTCGGCTGGAGTGCGGAGAGCAAGGTCTGGGGCTTGCCCTGCTCCCAGCAGGAACTCAAGGGCCGGATTAAACCGGCTGGAGAACCGGTTGTAGCCCACGGGCCGTAGTTTGCCCATCCCTGCTCTGGTGCCTAGAGTATCTCAGTCCCACCTGTGTCTGACATTTTGTATTGCAGCTCTGGCAATCTGACGATTTTGGGCAGACCTGGATAATGATTCAGGAACACGTGAAATCTTTTTCTTGGTATGTACTGGATCTTTGAGTCACTTTGGAACCTTTTCCCCCTTTATGTCCTCCCAGGCCTCCTTATTTCTCCCCCATCCTTTGCCAAGAACTCAGGCATAGAAGATGCTGGCAAGTACTGAGATACAGAACTCTGTTCACCCCCAAAGTTAACCCTGTAATAAGTGGCAATCAGATCACAGCAGTTTACCATGGGGATATGGGGCAGAAGCATGACAGAAGAAAGCTAACAGTACTCTGAGCTTCTCCAGCTTCTCCATATTATGCCCCCACAGCTTTCACAAGCTAAGGATTATGAAGCTGTGTTGGTATTTGGATAGAGTCTGCGAAGGAAAAACCAGCATATAGCTGGTGTTGGTGGGTCAGTAGGGTGCCCTGTCAGTTGATTTTGACCTGTGAGGCTAAGGGACATGGATTATCTTTTTCTTCCATGTTTGTACAGCACCTAGCACCTGGAATACTGATCTAGGACTGGAGTCCCTAGGCACTGCAGCAAGACATAATACTAAGAGGCACTTTTAAAAACCATTTTTAAAACTTACTGTTCATTAAAGAGTAGGGGTGTCTTGCCCCCCAAAAAATCTAGCTCATGCAGTTATTCCCTGAACTCCTTCTGCAGTTTCAGGTAGAGACTGTTCTCCTTCACTTCCAGTCCTAAATTGTTGTTGTGCACTGTTAAACAGCTGCAGCAAAATATCAGAATCAAGATCTGTTATGTGGGTCTGAGGGGACAGTTTTACTCTAATCATTAACTGCAATGAGAGCCTTTTGAATGAAAGGCCTCTTAAGATTTAAACTCCTATTGACATAAATGGCACATGATCAGGCCTTAATAGAGCTAATGAAAGTCCCTGGAGATCAAAACTACTTACATCTATTTCATGCCATCAGTTTGCCGTGAAACTTGCACTAAGGGCCCCATTTCCGATTGGGAGGTGATTTTTTGCTTGTTCCTTGAGTGGTCACTATAAAGAGATTTCAGAGTACTAAACAAAAAATAGCACATGCTCTCCAGTTATTGATTGCTCTGCCATTGTGATTACTTTTGTTGTCCAGTACAAGAATCCATCAGTTTCTAACTTGCAGGTTTTTTTTACATTCTACTGATAAGTAACTTGCCTTGATAAATCTCTGAAACATGCACATGGGACTGAACCAAAACCATCTCTCTGTACATCTTGAATGTTATTTATTAACTTTAATAAAATACTCCTCTTATAACTTGTATGGCGGTTGGGGAGAAAATGGACTTTCAGATGGATTATGAAGAACGAACAAGGAAAAAAATAAAAAAACATTGCAATTTCCTTGGTTTTCAACCAGCTGTTGAGCTGCCTACTTGGTCTTTTCAGTGTATCTTGAACATCAGTTAAAAAATGGGGGGGAAATGTCAGATTTTTTTTGCAGTTGTCACCCTTTATTTTGACCAGCTGTTCTGTGAGTGGTTTGAAAATCGAAATCAGAATTTCGATCCAAATTTTGCAAATAACCTCTCTTTATGAGGTGAGCCAAAACCCTGGATCTCATTATCCAATTTCAGGGTGTTCAAAATTCTGATCCAAGTTTTGATGTTTGAGCCCATCTCTTGTTAAATGACTTGCTTGTAAATACCTGGTGCTATCTTGATCGTGGCGTGAGCACAAAAAAAAATATACCTGCCTTTTTTTTCTTCTTCTTTTTTAAATACAAGGGGCATTGACCCATATGATAAGCTGAAGACAGTTTACATAGAACGACATGAGCCTACAGGGTCCTCAACTATAATTCGCAGCACAGATTTCTTTCAAACCAGGGAAAATAAAGAAATCGTTCTGGAAGAGGTTGAAGACTTCCAGCTCAGGGACAAGTATCTGTTTGCCACAAAGACTGTGGTAAGTAGCATGTAAGAAAAATCACTGTGTAGGCTGATGTAATACATTGATCTGCTGGGTGACCGTGGGCAAGTCACTTCACTGCCTTGATTTCCCCATCTGAAACACAGGGATAGTGATACTGACCT